AGTGATGAAAGTATGCCTATTTGACATTTTAAATACTAATGAGGTTATATTGCTGCTTACTTCGCTTATGACATGTATGTGTGTTGGAATACATGTTCAATGCAACGACAAAGACACATCTATAGGCATACTCCCCTTGCCACCTACCCCCGCAAGTGATCTAACGAACCTCCTTAATGCTCTTGGACTGAAATTCTTCAGAGCCTTTAGCTGATTGGTTATGATCTTCTGAATGTTCTCAATTGTCTTGAAATGACGTTCCTTGAGGATGAATTTCAGTTTTGAGAACAGGAAGAACTCGCAGGAACTCAAATTGGGTGAATACGGAGGATGCGAAAGAATTGGAATCCCTTTATTGTCCAAAAATTGGATGATTGATAATGCCGTGTTATAACCAGCGTTGTCATGGTGCAGCATCCAATTGTTTGCAATACTCGGTCACACACTAGCAATCCTTTTTAACCTTTTTCTAAGAGCAAAATTTGATCGCGCAACGTTGTTCGATTTTTGCATCATCCATTTTTGTAAATGTAAACGCCTCAAAAAACAATTTCGCAAAATGGACGCTAACGCTCACCAAGTAACTCGAGGAGGTTGAAACTCGTACTAAAGGTCTATGAGGACTTTGAGGACCTGTGAAGAGGAAGTTTGTAGTGTCCGGTTGTGCGCAGCGATACCAATCTCATTACTTTTCTGCCAGACTATATTTATTAGAAATGCAAATTGTGAGTTTTACTAGTTATACCTAATAAAATTTGTAATTATTGTTACAAAACTTGTATATATCAACGAATTGAAGTACTTACAATTAGTAAATTACACACACACACACACGCGCACACACACACACACACACACACACACACACACACACACACACACACACACACACACACACATATACATATATATTCATTATTAGTTTTGCTATTTAATTTTTATTAACGAAAAATAATTACGCAAATTTGTTTTAGTTAATTTAAGACTTATTTAAATAATTGTTTGTTTTATTTATTTTTTTTGTTTTAAATTATAGTCTAATAAAATTTCTTTGTTATATAACTACGAATAATGGAACAAGAAAAAGTTTTTGTTCCTTATTACATTTTCTTCAGAAAATGTGCTATATATGTATATTGGGTTGAACAAAAAATTCGTTTCTTTTTTTCTTTTTTTTATTGAATTGGACGATATTTTTTTAGATGTAACTTTAGTTATCCAAGTATTGACCATTCTTTTCGGTAACTTTTTGGTATCTTTTAGGTAATTTTATGATTCCATCCGTAAATTCTCAGTTTTAATAAAATTTCTCAGTTTTCTGAATGAAAAAACTGAGTCAAGTTTTTATAGTCTTTCGGAGAACTAAAGTTCTTATCGTTAAGGGAGTTTTGCAGGGATCGAAATAAATGGAAATCGGAGGGGGGGGGGGTGCAAAATCCGGTGAATACAGCGAGTGAAGTAGAACATTCCAGTCAATTGCATCAATTTCTACCAAGTGAATTTCTACCAGGCTAAGCTAAAGAGACATGCGAGTAGTTAAAGAATCTTACATTATTATAAAAGACAACATTCTTAAGATTAGCCAGGGTTGGATAGTACTACTTAAAAAAATAAAAGTTAAGTTAAAAAGTTAAAAAATTTAAATAATTTTAACTTAACTTAGTTACATTTTAGACTCTTAACTTTTAACTTAATTTAGTTATATTTTATCGGTAACTATTAACTTTTGATTTAACTTACTTAAAGTTACATTTTAATACTTCTTGTAAATCTAAAATAAAATACATATCTGCGTTGATGTCTTTAAACTCAAATTTGAGAACACACATCAAGGCAATTGTTATAATATAATAAATATAGTCTGACCGCGGGAAGGAATCACTGTTCGCAGACTTTCTATACATTAAATCATATTAGATTAAGTCCTTCGAAATCAGTAGATTTCCTCGTCTTTCCGTGACTCGACAGAAATAAATATAACAAATATAAACTTTATTTAGAAACTTTATTTAGAAAACCTAAAATTATAAAATAAAAATATTTAACTTTTAACTTTTCAATTGCTTTTTTTATTAACTTAATTTTATTTCAATTAATTTTATTATGGATTATTTTGTATCTTAACTAACAATAAGTTAAATTTTTAAGACTCTTAATTTTAACTTAACTTAGTTAAAAAAATATATTAACTTATCCAACCCTGCGATTAGCTAATTCCGGATGCTTATTGTCAATTGCTATCTTTAGTTTATTCAATTTCGAGCAATCCGAATTAATTGTTTGGATCCTTAGTAAAAGTTTGTAATGTAGGATTTCTTTCTAATCAGATGCAAAGTATTATCCTCTTCGCGTGAAGTTCTGTTTTCGAGTCGATAATAGTTGCTCTGCTCTACAATCTCTGTCGCACCATATTATCATAAACAATCAATTTTTTATTTTCATAATGACTTATTTTAAAAATATATCTAAATATTAAGCCGCGATTTACATATATCCAAGCGTGCGTAAATGTACGACAACGTTGCGTGCGATATTTTGAGAATTTCTGCAGTCTCGAGTCGAATAATGCGGTTTATTTTTAATTAATGTCTGAACTTCATTGTCAATTGGTCATCTCGATTCGGGTCCTGAATATTATTGAGGTCATTTCACGGAATTTGGTAAATTACTTTCAGCATATTTGTTCATTTACACGGCACAAATCTTTCTTTAAGTTTCGGTTGCATTTTTATTTTTTTTGAAATAAAAAAGCATAATATGCCAAAAATGTACATATATTATTAGCCATTTTTCAATTGATATCAAACACTAATCTTCAAATACTTTTATTTAAATAGTAAATCTAAATTCAGATGTCGAACGATATTAGGCAATTGGAAGTTTTATATATTTATATTTTCTGTATACATATTATATACATATACAGTTTTACATATTACATAATAAATATGATAGTTTTACATATACATATATGAAATATAAATATGTAAAACTATCATATTTATTATGTAATATGTAATATGTAATATGTAATGTCATATTTTTCATTATTATTTAAAATTTTACGAATATAAAATTTTCAACAATCAAATTTTCAACTGCAAACAAAATATTAAATAATACAAATATGTAAGTATCACAAACAAATTTCACATTAATATTATAATTTTACAGTACTCAATATTATGTGGCACATAATAGCGATGTCATTGAGGAAGATTTGGCAGAATTGCCTTCATGTGTTTATGCGGGCAGGTCTACGCAACATGTCACGCATACATCACCACATACACATTCTCCCTTGCACTATCATATGCCAGTTTCAACGCCAGGTAAATATTAAATAGTAATGCAATTATTCGATTAATGTTTCTTTATATAAACTTTTTGCTCAGATCATGACACAGAGATAAACGGTGTAGAAGAGGGTTATTATCCAAATGGTAGTCCTTATAGAATTCAAAGACACGCGGCTAATATTCGTGAAAGAAAACGTATGCTGAGGTAAGGAATTTTCGAAAGTAATTAGAAATAAAAGTGTTAATCTAATCAAAATATATTTTATAAATAACCTATGTGCAAAAATTTAATTCTTTAGATATTAGAAACTACATATATATATCTGTATTACGTTAACTATAAAACGCACTAAAGGTTTTATTTCAAACGGTAATATTGTATCAAAAATGTAATGTAAAATAATTCTTTAAAAATATTTAAAAAAATTTTTTAAACTAATAATATTAGTTAATATTTGTTTATTAATAATTTAAGCTAATAGTAAAATAAATTTAAAACTATGTTTGCAAATAGTTTGCTAAAGAAATCAATTGTTTGTACTTACATTATTCGTTATAATATTAATATTTAATAATAAATTGATTCACAATGTGATGTTTTATTGCAGGATACATACCTAGATATGTAAAATATTTTATTTTTTTTATAATTTCCTCATAAGATACGCACGAGTGGATTGTCAGTGTGATTGCAATTTTTAGCAGCATCAACTCGGCTTTCGACGAGCTCCGGGTCCACGTGCCGACCTTTCCTTATGAAAAGAGACTGTCGAAGATCGATACCTTGCGCTTGGCTATAGCATATATTGCGCTCTTGCGCGAGGTTCTAGCGGCCAGGCTGGACCCTTTGACGTACGTTGAAAGGTGCCTTAGGGGTGAAATAAACGGTGAACGCGCCGAATGGAACACGAGTGGTATGTCCACTTTTATAATTACATAATATTTTAAAAATAATATAATGCACCAAAAATCATAAACATAAAAGTTATGAAAAATGTTTCAATACACGTATCGTATTTTGGAGAAATTCTATCAATTATAGATAATTATGTATACAGACTGTATAAAAAATAACGCACTTTCTTCCAATTTATTAAAAAATCATTACAAAAATTTAGTGTGTAATTAATAATATTGCAAACAATTTAAACTTAAAGGCTTCTAATGTAAATTCTCAATAAGTTGTCTTTACTTAGAGATTAAATATATTGCCTTTGGGTTCTAAAAAAAAAAGATACTTTGAAGAAGATAATATTACTTTTTTAAATTGATAATATATAGTTCTCTCCATATAAATATAAGGACAAATTGCTGTATGTTTATGAAACCAATCTTATAAATATCATTTAAGGATGTTTAATACGTACAATAGTAGCAAAAAGTTAAAGGACTGATTTTTACGAATATGCTCTTCTCATATAGTTTGAGTAATAAGGATTGTGCGGAATGTTATCATTTATTCAGAACTAGAGTGCAGAAATGCTTCTGTTTTTTTCCTGAGAATTTTCGAATTTTATGGCCAAATCTAACCAAAAAATTCAAATTAAAATCCTTATAACTTTGGATTGCTTCGATGCAGTGAATCGATCGACTCCGGCTTTTGTCTTAAGTCTTTCAACATATATAAGAACAATCTGTATAATATTTGTTAAATTCCCATTATTTTAAAAATTCTATAGGTATAAAATTTTTATATTCTATACCTATAGAATTTT